TCTATCATGGTTTGCTCCTTTGTTTGAAAAACGATCATCCATATTAAACAACTTTGAAACCTTTTTAGAAGCATTTGCGGAAGCATTTGGTGAACATGATAAGGTTCGATGGGCTACAACAAAGATCCGGTCGCTACGACAGGGGATGCGTTCTACATCAGTCTATGCTTCGGATTTCAGGCAATTAGTATGCGACATCAATTGGGATGAAGAAGCGTTGATGAGTCAATTCTATTGGGGTTTAAGAGATGATGTGAAGGATTTGCTGTTAACTCTTCTTGATCCACGAACGCTCAATGAAGCCATTAGCCAAGCTGTGAAGTGCGATAATCGCCTATTCCAACGTCACCAAGACCAACGCTCAAGACAACATACAATTCGCCATGCTCCAACTATGTCGACAAGCAGTGTGAATTCACATTCAGAGGTGGAAGACATGCAAATTGATGCGGTACGTATCAAATCTCTTACTATAGAAGAAAAAAAGTGACGTATGGAAGAAAATTTATGCTTGTATTGCGGTGGAGAAGGCCACAAAGTCGGAAACTACCTCAAAAAGCAAAACCGAGGCATAGTCAAGACTAGGGGAGTATTTGTTCAGGAAAACGAAGATGCCCAGCCACAGTAGGAACCGTGCGGCTGGACAATGAAATATCCCAACAACAATCAGGTTCCTTTCTTTCTGCCCAACTTGCACTTTGTTTTACAATCCCTCTGTTTATCGGCCCTCAAAAACTGAGAACCTTAGCACTACTAGACTCAGGAGGATCTGCTTGTTTTTTAGTCGAAGAATTTGCAAAGCGTCATAAGATCCCTTTAGTACAAAAATCAAAACCTGTTCATGTTGAGGTCATAGATGGGCGACCTTTATTGTCTGGTAGCATCACCCATGAATCAAAACCTATAGAAGTAACGTTTAAAGACCATAGTAGTCATATTATTTTTAATATTATTAGAACCCCATCAAATCCTATTATTCTTGGTCTTTCTTGGTTGGAAAAACATAATCCATTGATAGATTGGAGGTTGCAGAAGATGACTTTTCCCACAAAACCACCCAAGAAAAAACCTAGTAAAAAACCTCGAAAAAAGAAATCCTTATTCATTGGAGCAAGAGCGTTTATAAGATCATCTAAGGAAGGCACTCCATTTGTCATTTATGCGGCTCCAACTACCGAAGAGAAGATCTCAACAGCAAGTATACCGGAGCGATATAAAGATTTTGAAGACGTGTTTCAAAAGAAGAACGCCGACATACTACCGGAACACCAACCATATGATTGTACCATAGACTTGCAAGAAGGAGCACAACCACCTTTTGGCTCAATCTACAATCTATCGCAAATGGAGTTGGTAGAGTTACGAAAGTACATCGACGAGAATCTAGCCAAGAACTTCATTCGTCATTCAAAATCATCAGCTGGAGCACCCATCTTATTTGTGAAGAAGAAAGATGGATCATTACGGATGTGTGTGGACTATCGAGGCTTCAACAAGGTAACAAAGAAAAATCGTTACCCATTATCTTTGATTTCTAGTCTCTTAGAACAACTTGGACGTGCGAAGATCTTTACAAAAATTGATCTAAGGGGAGCTTATAATCTCGTACGAATCAAGGAAGGAGATGAGTGGAAGACAGCATTCCGTACAAGGTATGGTCATTTCGAATATAATGTCATGCCTTTTGGTCTTACCAATGCTCCAGCGGTTTTCCAACATATGATGAATGACATCTTTCGAGAACACCTTGATGATTTTGTTGTCATCTACTTGGACGATATTCTAATATTCTCTAAAAACGAGGAAGAGCATGAGGAGCATGTTCGTTTGGTCTTGGAGAAACTACGCAAGCGAGGACTATATGCCAAATTAGAAAAGTGTTTATTTCACCAGACGGAGATGGAATTTTTGGGGTTCATTGCGACTACAAAAGGTTGAAGATGGATCCCAAGAAAGTAGAAGCAATCATGTCTTGGGAGGTTCCGAAGACGGTTAGAGACGTACAATGCTTTCTTGGTTTTGCTAACTTCTATCGGATCTTCATCAAGAATTATTCTCAAGTTGCTGCTCCTCTCACTCGATTAACATGCAAAGATAAGTTGGAATGGGGACCTTTGGCGGAGAAGGCGTTTCAAGATTTGAAGACAGCATTTACTACAGCTCCAATTTTGGTACATCCAGACTTTACAAAGGCCTTCTATTTAGAAACTGATGCTTCAGATTTTGCTTTGAGAGTTGTGCTTTCACAAATGAGTGAAGATAAGAATCTCCATCCAATTGCATTCTATTCTCAGAAGTTTTCTACTGCTGAAATCAATTATGAGATCCACGATAAGGAACTTCTTGCTATAGTGGATTCTTTCGAAGAATGGCGTCACTTTCTTGAAGGAGCTGCACATCCAGTAACCGTATATACGGATCACAAGAATTTGGAGTATTTCATGACGGCTCGAGTTTTAAATCGGCGTCAAGCTCGATGGAATATGTCGCTATCTAGATTTGATTTTGTTATCACTTATCGACCTGGAAGGCAGCAAGGACTATCCGATGCTTTATCAAGAAGATCATATCTTACACCAAAGGCTGGAGAAGCAGCGTTTGATCAACAATGTACAACGTTATTGAAGCCAGAGAGATTTCAACTTTGTGCTACTATTGTATCATTTGATGCTGACTTCCTAAACCAGGTACGTGCTATGACCATTAAAGATTCAGTAGCCATTGATATCAAGCAACGTACCAATGACGACAAGTTCAAGGTGGAGGGAGATCTTTTATACTTTGAAGAGCGATTGTACATTCCAAAAGGACTAGCACGACTCCGAGTTCTTCAATCTCGCCATGATTTTCTAGGTGCGAGACATTTTAGATTCAATAAGACCTTGGAGCTTATTTCTCGAGATTTTTGGTGGTCCCAAATGTGGAAGGATGTGAAAGATTTTGTCCTCTCTTGTGACATCTGTTTAAGATCTAAGAATCCTCGGCATCGCCCTTATGGACTTCTACAGCCATTGCCAATTCCACGTCGACCATGGTCTTCAATTTCTATGGACTTCATCACGGACTTGCCATCATCAAACTCATTTGACAGCATCTTTGTCGTGGTAGATCGGCTTACGAAGATGGCACACTTTGTTCCTTGTAAGAAGACATCGTCCAGTGAAGTCACAGCAAGACTCTTTCTCGATAATGTGTATCGATATCATGGACTACCAGATGATATCATATCAGATCGAGGTACCCAGTTCGTGTCAAAGTTTTGGAGATCTCTCTTTGGGATATTGAAGGTGGATATCAAGCTTTCTTCAGCTTTTTATCCTCAAACTGATGGCCAAACGGAACGGGTGAACCAAGTCTTGGAGCAATACTTACGATGCAGCATCAACTATCAGCAAGACGACTGGACTGCATATCTATCACTAGCCGAGTTTGCATATAACAACACCCTCCATGCGTCGACTCAACAAACACCATTCTTTTCCAACTATGGGTATCATCCAAAGCTTGATTTATTGAGTCCGTCAACAAATAACAATCCAGCAGCTGAAGGATTTGTGAAGCAACTATCAGAGCTTCAAACTATGTTGAAGCTTCAATTACAATCCGCTCAAGAATCCTATAAGACGTCTGCAGATAGATTTCGGAATCCAGCACCTACTTTCAAAGTTGGAGACAAAGCCTGGCTTCTTCGATGAAATATCAAGACCAAGCGACCATGTGATAAGTTGGACTATCGAAGATTGGGACCATTTATCATCCAAAAGCAAATTAATCCAGTGGCATATCGGCTGGAGTTATCGGCTTCTATGAAGGTACATCTAGTCTTTCATGTTTCTCTGTTGGAACCTTATCGAGAGTCATTTTTTCCTGGAAGAGTGCAATGTCCGCCACCTAGTATTGAAATCGAGAACCACGAAGAATACGAGGTTGAAAAGGTATTGGATTCACGGCGAAGGTGGGAAAAGTTAGAATATCTTGTTCATTGGTGCGGCTATGGCATTAATGAGCGAACGTGGGAGCCAGCTGAAAATCTTGCGAATGCGCCACAAAAGGTACAGGAGTTTCATCAATGACATCCCGATAAACCTAAATCAATTCGATGATAGCTTCTTTCTGAATCTTGTTCTCCCAACAATATAAGAAAAGGGGAGAGCACCAGCAAAATTCATAGTTGATGTAGTTATTTTCTCCAAGATAGATCGTAGTTTGGTCTTTTGATATAGATAGCCAAGAGATAGATACTATGCCAGTCAGAGTATCGCAACCGAGTAGCTCACGAAGGCGACTCCGAGATGAAGAATTACATGTACCACGACGACGACGGAGGATACCGAGTAACCGATCACTGGTGATCGTATTTGAGATCGAGCCTGCTTACGATGGTCAACCAGAAGGCGTGTTTGCAGGACAATTTTACAATGAGGACACGGAAGTTCATGCTTGGTCAGAAGTCGAAGGCGTGGGCTACTACAGTTGACTTCAAGGGTCGATGAACCACTTGCCTCGTGAACAACAGTTGGAGTACATAGCAGAAGTTATGCGACAGATCTTCATTTTCTTGCGTTGGTACTGATCAACAACATTGCTTCTCAGAGACCTCGAAGCTAAAGGAGGGGATGATGTTAGGGACATATTCCTTAGAACTTTCTAGAGAGAAGTTTCTAGAACCTTCTAGAAAACAAGCCTCTGGAACCTTCTAGAAGAGAAGCCTCTGGAACCTTTTAGAGAGAAGTTTCTAAAAGCTTCTAGAAAGGAAGTCTCTGGAACCTTCTAGAAGAGAAGTTTCTAGAAGCTTTTAGAAAGGAATCCCCTGGAACTTTCTAGAAGCTTCCTAGTTAATAAAAGTAGCTCGAGAAGTTTCTAGAACCTTCTAGAAAAGAAGCCTTTGGAACCTTCTAGAAGCTTCCTAGTTAATAGAAGTAGCTCGAGAAGCTTCCTAAGTAGGAGTATATATAGGGATCGAGGCTGAAGAGTTCTTCAGTCTCGACAACACATCTCTTGGAGTTCTAGCTCACCTTTCTGGTGTTGTTCTTGTACTCATCTGTTTAATCTAGTTTTGCCATTTCTTCTTGAACTTCTTGTTAGATTTCAAGTCTGTATTTTGTGTCCATTACATTTTTACTTACAATGTAATAATCAACAAGATTTTTGATATGCTTTACCATGATGTTTAATCTAGTTCTGCCACTTCTTATATGGCACTTATGAAATGTGAACCATAAATGAGATTCATTCATCCACCCATTCATCCGTTCATATATTCATTCATTCGTGAAATGTTCATCCACTTTGTAGCAAGAGGTGGAGGAAGAAGGCGACACTTGTGTGTTGTCGTATCTGGAGATGGCCAAGTGGTGTTGAGTCTACTTCTTCTACTTCTGCACCGAAGGAGGAGGAGCTGCTTCACTCACTCCCATAAGTGCTGCTGCTGCTGCTACTACTACTCAATCCCAGGTTCAATCTCACACTTGTGCACTTCTAATGCTATTGCGTTTCAGTTGATGGATGAGTGCCGCAAGCATACTTGTTTGTTTAGGGCTTGTCACCTCAATTTGCTCAATCGGTGAAGACTTGCTTCGTGGGGAGGTTTCGTCAACGGCAACGGGAATAGTAACGGGAATCGTCCAGACATGGAGGGTGGATTTGGAGGTTTCGGGAACTTCCCTGATCCTTTTGCGAATTTTGGTATGGGTTTTGGAGGTGGGATGCGAGGGAGGAGCGTTTTCGACGTCTTCGATAACAATCCCTTCTTCAACGACCCCTTCTTCACTAGGTCGTTTGGGGGCATTTTTGGTGGCCAGGGATTGTTTGGGAATCAACAAGGATTTCTTGGTGGCAATTTTTTCCAGAATCAGATAGCTACTCGTCCTCACGTCCCTCCTGGTAACTACATCGAGGATCGACCATATAGTCCTCCTGTAAGTTCACTTTTCATTGTCGCTTACGAGTATTTGTACAAATTTGAAAATCATGGGCATGATCGACTCATTAATTGGTGTAGAGGTAAGTTTACTATGGGGCGTTCGCATGATTCGAATGCTTCTGGGAAGTTGTAATCGAACCCTAATTCAAAGACTCCAGCGTTTCCGCTTTGGAATCGGTCAGTGTAATGTGAATGTCTGTCTACAACCAACCGCCTTCCTTTGTTGAAGGAGGGTTTAAATTTTCAACTAGCTAGTGATTCAGTGATTTTGAGGTGGGTATCTGTTTAATAAATTTGGGGTTTCTGATGAGTTCCTTGTGACTAAGTTTCTCGGATTCAAAAGAAACCAAGTTGATGAGCCTTGTACGCGGATTTCATGATGTCTACTTCGTTCTGTTTCCATACGGAGGTATATGTTTCTACTAGTTTTTAGGGTTTAACGTATTTGCCACATAGGATTTCATTAGCCCACTATTTATTTTGGCAGATGTTCCAACTTCTGCTTTAATTTAGATTGTGTTGTGTGCATGCATGTCGTTGGTCACTTGTACTAATTTGCAGTTTTAGTGCGTTTATTGACAAGTGATTCCAAAAAATGCAATGTTCTTGTTTTAGGGTTTACAATTCAGTGATGGATTGTGTGTTTTTCAATCTAGATCTACGTACTTATAGCTCAAGAACAGAGATTGATAATAGAGAATCGAAACAGCGCTCTCTGCTCTCAAGATCGAATCATACTCATTTTAAAAATTAAATTGAGAGTGGATTCGTTTTTCTCTTAAATTGATACCGACTATTATTTCGGCATTGAAGGAATTCATATTGCGGTCACAGCGTCAGAGTTTTGGAATAATGTTTTTTTTTTTAAAATTATAAAATATTGATTTCAGAAATATCTTACGAACGTTTAATCAGACTTGATTGAATCTGAAACAGCAAGTTCACCAGCGGGGCCCTATTATAGAGGAGCTCTCAGATTCGGATGCAGATACTGAGGCTCGGGTATCTTCTCACCCAGGCCAGCAACCCATAATCGAACACCCTGACGACGATGTGAGGCCAGGTTTGTACACTGGTTTTGTTTTTCAGTTTCCATGGTGTCGCTTTTCCTATTCAAGAATTGTTGAAGTCTTGCAGTATGATATATTATCTTATTTAGAGGGAAATACTATGGCTGTGGTCACAGTAGTTGTGGTATCCTTCTTGATTTCCATCCTTTCTTATGTACTGGTGTTTCGTCATGACTTTACTATTTATGTGATCATCTGTTGCTCCTCTTTTTCTTTGCTGCGTTTATCCTTCTCGACGTAATCAATTTTCGCTGGGCTGATTCTCACTGATGTATTCTGATGTGGTTCGCAGCAGAGCCGCAGGAACAGCTTCGCCCCCTCCAGAGTGTCGTTAAAGCTGGTCCTCTTCCAGTGATAAATAATAGTAGCAGTTTTTCCAGCTTTCAGTGCTCTTCTGTCTCCTATGGAGGGCCCAATGGTACTTATTACTCTTCCTCTGCAGCCAGACGTTTGGGTCCAGATGGAGTGAGTCCTCTTCACCAAAGCTTGTTCAATCCTCTGACATGTACACTATTTTTGCCGCTTTAGTTGGAGGTTTCAGCAACGTTCCTTCTTGTATGTGATGCTTATTTTCTAAATGAATCATGCGAGGTTTAATGTGTGGGAAACATTTGACCATGGACTCTTAACTGGTCCTGTGAGTTCAGAGTATAGAGGAGGAATTTCAAGAGAAGGATTCTACAAGCGGCCATGAATTAAAACGCGTTTCCAGGGGACTCGGCGTGAAGGTAAAGATACATGTATTCATTTTGTTTGGTACAAACTGTTTCATGTGGTGAAAACAGTAATGTCAAGTTGACGTTTCTCGGGCTATCAAGTTGCTCTTTGTGTGGTATTGAAGGTCTATTCTGATAACTCTTTAGGAGCTTGACATGATTTAGCTGTGGATGAACTGTTGATGCGTGTATGTGGACATGGGTTTTGGATACCACCCAGGTGGGTCTTTTAGCTGTGGAAGTTGTAATCCACTTCCATGGGGTAAGTGATAGCTTGAAATATTCGAAGCCTGGTAGAAGTCACCTACTCCTGTTATATACCATGTTCATTTCAAGTTGATGGAACCTTGTAGTACAGTAGCTCCGCTGGTCACGGAGTTTTCATCAGATCTAGTTTTGACTAGTTTCCACTGCAGGGACGTACAATTGCACGTAAACGCACTTCTGAGGGGCGTGAACACGCAATGGAAATACTTCACAACTTACAAGAAGGTAACAATATGGACCAAGAGACTTTACAATAGATATGGGCGTGCGTAGGATCTGACAGAGGGTTTATCTTCAAGATTTTGAGTGAAGAATTAGGACTTCGACTAACGTGTGACCCACTCCTTATGCTTATATATATGGTACTTTTATAATACACTATTGACTCTGCTGCAATTATTATGCAGATGAGGTACCAGCCTTTGAACGAAGTTGGGAAGAACGGGCAAATGTTCTGCCAAGATGGAATAGACACCGATTACATACGATTGGTGCTTCTCATGGTAATTAATTGCGCCTCAATTATTCCCTTTATAGTAATGCACCTTTAATCTATTGTATTCCTTGTCGCTTCATGCCTGCAAAGACATTGATTCCTGTCCTGTTTATACCTTGTAAAATGTGTGGATTCTTCTCCAGCCTGCTTAAGGATGAAGTCATTGATCGCTTTTATTTGTACTAACTAAATCACTGTATTTGCAGGCTCTTCAAGTCGTTCGCGTGCTCCTGCCCTTGTAGGAAGAAGCCCATCACAAGTGGTGCATCCGTCAAATCCAAATTAATTTAGAGATCATTGAAACATTTTGGAAATTAGTACTATGAGATTCCAGGACGTCAATGCCCTGATTTGTCGGCCCATCTCATAGTTTAGTTTCTGTATAGAAATAATTTGGCGCTGAGTACTTGCGATGTTCTTGAGAAGTCATGATAAGAGAAATTCCGCATGTTTATCAGATTTTGAAAGCAACCTCAAAGGTGTACCTATTGTTCTTTGGGTTAGAATGACTTCATTCAATGTGATTTTGAAATTTTAGTCAGACGGGACTCTTCATATTTTTTGTGTTGCACACAAGAATATATTTTAGCTGTAGAAGATGCGAGAATGCTAAGAGGGAAATAATAATAATAATAATAATTGAATGAATTGAGAGTCATTTGTGACATTATGTCGTGGTTAAGGAGCCAGGTGGAAATGGACGAGGAAATAAAGTGGATTTCAACATGTGAACTGAAAATCTGAACAAATCGTAGATTTGTGCACGGAATGACATTCCTATTAGTTAGTCACAATTCAAGACGGCCTAGGTTTGGTATCATATTCTGGTAATTTTGTTTTGAATTCTGGGAGCACAATTTCGATAATAAAATTTCTATTATGAAAGGTTTGTTTAAGTTATAAATTCTTTAAAATTTATTGTGCAAATCTTACCAGAATATTCATGTTATTATTTGAAATTGGTTTCATAGATAAATTAAATTGTTTGAAAAGTTTTTTCACATTGTTTAACTCTTAATTTAATTTATTTTGCACATATTTAAAAATAGAATTAAATAGTTCCTTATATATAGGAGAGAAATTATTATATTTTAAAATATTATACAATGAATACTAAATTGAGTAGTGATATATTTTATTTTGAAAATGATATCTATAATTTTTAGAGCTATAGTAGTGAAAGATGCAAAATTGAGTGGCTTATGCTCTTTTAATGTTAGAATGCTAAAGAACACCATATTTAGTGGTGTAAACTTTGTGAGTCACAAAGAGAATAGTGGCAAAGATGTTCTAATATATCTAAGAGTACAAAATGTTTTAAAATGCATAATCTCCTTAACTTTTATCTAATTAGAACAAATACAAAATATTTAAATGACTATAGATATCTTGGTTGGTTTAATTAGATGCACATCAAAAAAAAATATAGTAGAAACTATGTTAAAATTGGAAGCTCTTAAATAAGTTTATTGGTATTTTTTTATTTTATTTTTTTTCATAATTCATTACTTGTTATTAAAGAATGTCCTAATCTAAAATCTCACTAATTTGCAATTTTTTGTAAGATACATTTATTTTCACATACAAGTCTTGCAAGTCTCTATTCATGTCAGATATTTTATTTGTCATTAAATTACTTGTATTAAGACAAATACATGTGGTGGCTTTTAAAATCTTTCAATTAAACAACTCTTAATAAAAATGTTTACTAAAAGACATGCCAAGTTAACTTATGAATCTTAAAAGATATTTGTATAAATATACACACACACACACATATATCTATATATATATAATCAAATATGTAATTATTAAATATATAATCATCCTGACATATAAAGATATAAAAAAGATCATAAGATACAATATTTAGTTATTTGTTGTACACCTCTACATTAAGTGTATAATATATTGTGAAGTCTAGAATAGATCAAAGAAATAACAACACACTATACAATGGTCCTCATGTATGTTACAATAAACTAATTCTATAACCATTCCAACAACTTATTTAGCCAAATGTTAGTGGATAAATATACGTTTCTATATTATAAGGTAACTTAGTATTTACAAGAACATAGATATTTTTAGAAAGTTTAAATATCTATCTATTTATTTTTATCAACATTTCTAAACTACTAGTACTTCATTACATTTTGAACAAGATATTAAATAAAGTCTAGGATTGCATATATAAGCCAAAATATTAATTAGCATATAAATAAATAATGAATCCATTATTCTACTACTTGCAAATCTCTATAAAATCTCAAATTTTAAGTATAAATTTTAATATAATTAAAATTTCTCTTAGATGACCACATCTTTTAGTAGTAGATTACCAAAATAAAATAAAATAAAATAAAATAAATTTTCACAAGGTATAATCACAATGGAAATAATAAATTTTTTTTAAATAGTTAATTATCAAATACTAAACAAACTATATTCATATCCAATTAATTATTTTTTGCAACTTCTTCAGAATTTGATACTTAAGATATGTACAGGTATTGTAATTTTTCTTTCAAAAAGTGCTATTTCTAATTAAAAATACAGAATAAACTCTTCACTTAAAAAACCAATAGTTTAGAATTATATAAAATAAATGTACTGATTATGCAGATATATATATATTTATATATATAAATATATATATATATATTTACACACACACACACATTTAATTTTTTAAATTATGTATGATTTTGATTCACATGAAGAAAGAATTGTATGGAAAAAAATATATATATGTATATGTATATATATATACACTAGAAGTTTCTCTTTCTGTTAAGAAAACGAAAAATACATGTATCAAAGAAGAAAAAATATAGAATAAAAAAATAAAAGGCACTTTGGAGACATCTTCAGCTATCATTCCCTACTACTTTGAAGGTATTTCTTGCAGATACTAGTTAATATTCTAGTTCATTAAAAAAAAATCATACGAATACAATTTTGACGTGAGAGATAGATGCTTTATCCCTTTTATTTATCCCTTTCACTGTTCATCTCATGAGCGAGTCATTCTCTCTTTTATTAAAAAAAAAAAAAAAAAAAAAAAAAATCCACTGTGTCTTGGAAAGGAACAACAAAAAAGGGGCAATCAGTGCTTATCAGTTAGTCAAGCATAGAGTTCAATTTGTGAGATATTTTTTCTTATTTTTTCTTTAATTTATTTATCTAATTGTTTTAAAGGTATGCTTTGAGATGGGGAGATTGGCATGACCTTGGCACTGCTGCTTGGGACCAAGTTTCTACCACATCCCATCATAGAATGCCATCCTTGTTATTGCCTTCTTTCTTTCTGAGAGCAACACCATCCAAAAGGGGGTGAGTGGGTCATTAATAGTGCCAAGCTTTAAGCACTTAGTGCACAGTGGTTTGGCTTCATGCGAGTTGCACATGGGGAGAGCAAATCAAGCCACTTGAGTGAATCAAGCAGTCACACATTTGTCCAATATGTTTGGTTTTTTGCAGGAGCATGTATTGCATCACTGCCAATAATATATTTTGTGGATGAATGAGCCATGGTGTTGAGTTCTTCACACTGAGGATGAGATTTTCTATCCTAGAGCTCCAGAAGGGGATTTTACTTAATTATTTGTTTATTTATTTGGACCCAATTATTATGAATGTGGCTTATTGGGTCTCTTTTTCTCTCCATGTGTGAAGTGGTTGAATCCTGTCAAGTTCCTAGTGAAGAAGGATGAAAGAAATTTGATGAACTGTTGCTAAATATGTGTGTGGAGAGAAGTCAACACCTTTAATATACACAAGTTTGAATATATTGTCAAAGATGGACAAGAAAGTTGTGATCTAATTAGAAAACTGTTTTTTTCCCGTCTGTTGCCATGTACTAGAATTGTAGGATTGAGTATTTGTTATTCACAGTCATTCGATAGTACTGATAGCATGTCATAACTGGAATTTTCAAGATCTTTTTATGATAGCTTGAAGACAAATTTAGTGGTCAAGTCTGGTTGAAGGAATGATAACTTAGGGAGGTGCTAACCTGAAGCGCATATGTGCTGCAGTCAAGCCATTGTCAGAGGCAGCAGTGTCATCCCTGCGATTACGCGCAGGTGAAAAGACAAATCATTCGGAGTTATGATATAGGTGGGAGAACTCCACCTGCAGAAGTGATGAACAAACCACATCAATTCAAAGCAACACACATATCTTGCACTGTTCGCCGATTTACCTGTTAAATAAGTGGCAGCTCACCGTGCGATTGCGTTTTTCCAAAGTCAGAAATATACTTGCCGGTATTGATTCTTTGCTATAGGTAGGTATTCTGGCCGGCTGACCTACCGAGCTGCACCGTCACCTCTTTCAGATTGAAATTCCCATCAATGAGCAGGTTGCCGCGCAACTGTAACTTTCAGACGTGAATACAATCGTAATAAACATAAAAGGCCCTGCTTTTATGGTCATGAAGGAGCTCATGCACTGGCACTGACTGGTGTGCCGTCAGTTCACTTCAAGCCGAGTTCCGCTTCTAACACTGGGAGACTGGTACTGGCCAACGTATGGTGATCTGTAGAACACTTCGTGATTATCGTTTTTGACTACGGTGATGGTGTCTGTGAAGTAGTAGCCTGTGAAGTAGTAGCTTGCAAAGTAGGAACGACGCCGTTTGGATCTTTCACTCTCTGGTCTCCCTGCTGCAGTTGTCATGAGGAAGTAAGCCTATTCCTGTTCCTAGCTGAAGCAGCGGGAGTAGCTTTCAAAACGTCGAAGTCCATTGCGTGGAGCGGGGGGAGCTCTTCTTGGCTGTGTCATTTTGTCGGTGGTGGAGCAGGGGGCTCATCATTGTCTGCATGGATCCCTGATAGCTTGTAAAGTGCATAGTAGTAATGCTGAGACCAGATCCTTTCCATTTCTTGGATTAACTTCTTCTTCTTCTCGTTTCCCGAAGATTGAGTTCCCAGATGAGGTGGTGGAGTAGGATAGACTACCTTCTGTTGATCGCTCGTTACTGTTAAGGCTTTCGCAGTTCCTGCGGTCCATGCTTCTATCCTCCTTGAGTTTGCTATCACCAGCTTTTGTGAGTGCCGCATCTTCATCTAAGGTACAGACTCTCTATTTCCAGATTGGTATTGGAGGGGGTTGTACTGATCTGAGGGCTTCAATGAAGCACTATGCGCTTAGGACGTTCGTTTCTGCAACGGAGCTGTCATGACTGTTTTCGGCTATCGTATCTCCACTAGCAAGTGATCTTTGACCTAGTGATTGAAATTGGAACCCACACTTTGAGAGAGAGAATGTTGTGGATTGTTTGGAGTTTTCAACCAAGGCTCTGAGTGTTTAATGCCAGTAAACCTAATCTGGGAGTGGCTGGAGGTTGTTTCGTTCTTTGATGCCAGCTAGAGCAAAAAGAATTGGAAATCGATGCCTGCCAGGGGCATGGGATATGCTCTGCAGCTCATCTTGGTCTCAAACTTGCTTGCAGGTATATTTCTTATCATTAAAATCAGAGGGGTGGCAGAAGAGGCTGAGAGTTCGAAGCCACATTTGTACGTACTTCTTGAGTCTTGTGGTTTACTTTGGTTCATGGGCAGGAGTCACACATCTACTTCCGACAAATGTCTCCTTTTCCCCAATATTAGATATCGAAATTTCTTACTTTTTTTTTCTTACTTTACTCTAAAATATTTCTCTGCTCTGGAACACTTGTGTTTACCCTCCCAAACAGAGGCACAAAACCACGCTGATGCTTGTATCGATTGAGTAAATTCTGTCAGAAGTTAGTGTGTAGACAGCCAGACTGTCACGGAACTCGGAATGAAGGTGTCATTGATAAAACCGGAAAGAGTGGGACGTAATTGATTTTCCTATTTTCTGCCTCGGGGTCATACTTGTCAGTAAAGAAAAAAATTGCTCAGGAATCTTGGAAATTCTGAAATTCTGAGTATCCTGGAGTTGACGAATTCGTTGCATGAGGATTATTTGACGTTAACGAAAAGGGGCATGTGCCGAATGTGACCCAGAATTCCGGCACAAGAGAACTTATAACGGCAGTTGGATGCTGACGTAAAGGTGCCTTGGAATCGGGTTAATCATATGTGAAATATTCGCAGGTATAGCCGCAGATTCGGTGTTATTTGATAAGTTTCTGCAGCACAAATCTAAGCATGCAATGTGGAAGTTGCAGGTGCATTCTCCATATCCTCATGGGAAGAACCGCAGGTGAGAGCACATTTGGTCTCCAATTCGCTGTTTCTGGTTATTTTATTTCAGGTTGCCAAATGTAGGAAGTCTCGACATTCACTGATACTTCAACAGACCATGGATTTGCAGAAAACTCAGATGCAAAATCACACAAGCGAGCTTCCGCCAGAGGTACCAATTGCCCTCCTATTCAGATTCCTTTGTCAGCCTTAATGGTAACCAGCTCCTGAGTTGATTATACTGGAATCAGTTCAGAACTAATTACCAAGAATGAGGAAACTATCAGAATGTTCAATTCTTGCAGAACGTCTGGCTGACTATTGTGTTGACGTAGCAGAAAGTGAACGGCTGATTCAGATCTTTTCATGCGACTCTTGATTAGATGGGCGCAGCAACTAATCCCAAGTTATGCAAAGGTTCATCTACCATTCTTTCAGGCTTAACTTCAATGAATTGTTGCGCAGAACTTCACGGAGTTGGGCACAATCACCAGCATATCACTAGCAGGCGATGTGTTAACTTTGGCGAACGGGACCGAATTACAGCTGTTTCCCAACTCTCCGGGTCATATTCACGAGCACATGAACGGAACCCGGAGAATGCTCGGGGTCTTCCGCCAGTGCTCGCCCTGTACTTGCTGCGACAAGACAAGGAGATGGTGCCTGCCTACTGTCTGCTGCTATAACATAAAGTGCGGGTTGCAAGGTTTACCGTATGGATTATGCTCTTTCATTCCTATCTCATGCACATGTTATGGATGCAAGAAGTGAACTACATAGTGGGAATTCGAGGTCTACTGGCTCAGGAGGAACGAGTATTTCCAGAAGCGGAATCGTTTGAGCACGTGGCATGACAGACCATTAGCGGTGTTGGATGAGGATTATCTGTAGTGCAATGTGCACGATGGTGTGCTCGCATTAGTTTACAAGGAATGTGTGCAATAAGCAGCATTATCGAAGCTGAGAATCTGCAATCCTCTTTCCAATGAGATAAATCGACTTTCGATTATGCTGTATTGAGCTCTTACCAACCAGTAGGGTTTCAAATGCCTCCTATTGCGGTCTAAGTAAGGGTAGATTTGAGCACATCAACATAAATGGCAAGTTTGTGTTCCTCCCTCACTTTTGTTCACAATATTCTAAACTACGTTATAATTACGTTTATTGCGCAACTGTTGTGGATGTTGATTCTTTAGATATCTTTAGTAATAATTTTTGATGATTAAGCATACTTTCATCAAATTGTTTGCCGCGACTCTGGTACACGATGAGATCTTACCAACACTTGTGATGAGCCTCTTCCAGCAAGAGCAGATATCAGAGTCTGCACTGCGATACCTAAGTCGCTACAAAGCGGTTCAGAATGTCCACCATCGTGTCCTAATTAGCTTGCGAGACCTCTTAGCTGAGCGAGGTACGAAATTGAACATCGAACTCAAGATTTGTGGTTTTATGTGCAGTATTTTTCTTCGTTTCTTTCAATAAAAATGGAGCAATTCCGTTGCAGGAAAAAATGATGTTACATGATGCAACTTGCAGCACACACTGATTGACCTCGAAAATACGATGTTCAGCAACGAGCTCCTTTGCGACAGTTGAGTGGGCCGGCATCTCTTACCATCTTCCACACCATGGAGGCTGGACGAGATTTGCAGCTAACAGTTTGGGAGTAACTCTGAGCTGACCAACTCATGGGCACGTTCCCAAAGTAAGCGCCGGACTGGAACATATCCCCCTCAGATCTCCAGTTCCACGTCCTAGGACCTCCGAATTTGGGCCCTCCGTCGTCAATGCGCTTCGTAACTTCCTTGTTGCCCCTGTTCGCGTTGTACACATTGCCTTGCGACAGAATGGTGGGATTCTGACTGCCACCAACAGGGTATACTCCCCATCCGCTAGAGTACTCGTTGTTTACCAAATGCAAGTTTCCGTAACGAATTCTGCCAACCATGTCAAACAAGAGTTAGAGCGCAATGCATCAATTAACTGAGAATTCTGCAGGATGGCAATTGTTGAAAAGATAGTAGAACCATGCCTTCGAATTACCTCGGCATCCTCTGAACAAGGCCGGGACCGAATTTGTTGTAAGCCACAGTAACATGCATGTTCCGGTCCATTGTGTGACTCGCATCTCCTCCCAGGAGCATCACCTTGTTATGTCTGGTGAAGTAGCAATTAGTTATGGAGATACTGTTCGAGCCGCGAATCACATCAATCAGCCCGTCGGCAGCATTTGAGAGATAGCAGTGATCTATCCAGATGTTACTAGAAGAAAAGATCGATATCGCATCACCATCGCATCGGGGACGGTTTTCCACATTCTTCTCTGATTTCATAATCTTTGCTGGTCCGGTGGCCTTAATGTCGTGGATGAAGAGGCCGTGCACGATGACGTTGCTCACTTTATGTATTCTGAGCCCACCACCCCCGGCAATGCGGACTTGCACGCCGCGCGCGTCAATGGTCTTGAAACTTGTGATCAGGAGCTCATTTTTGAGCTTGATGATCATACTGGACGCAAAAACTATCCACAGGGGTTGTTTACGCGTGACGGCATAGCGCAAGGTGCCAGGAGCTGGGTTCGCGGGGTTGTCGTCACGGGGAGACGTGACGACATAAATCGCACCATTCTTGCCACCTATGGCTTTTCGGCCGAACCCGATTGCGCAGCTGGCTAAGTTCTTCCGGCGAGATGCCCAGTTAGGATCACACCTCCAGGAATCGTCAACGAGGTTCCCAGTTTGACAGCCTCTCGACGGTTCCGGGGAGACGGACTTATCCGTGTCCTCCTCCGAGCTCGACTCACCATCATCGTCCATCTCGACCATGTCAAATCCATCTTCATTGGGATCATTACCACCCGCCTCCCCCTCTTGCAAGTAGGCATCGTCGGTTGCATCCACATCCTGTTCATAATTGGGCTGTCCGGACTCGCTCAGAACGTTGCTGATAGATGCAGTGGTCTGATCAGCATCAGCGAGGGAGGCCATCACGTCGTGATAGTCGTAGTCTCGACCTGTTGTGGAGCTCAACAACTCCGTGTATCCAGTCTGCGCGTGAGCCTGTCTCAAATGGACGCAAACGAGACTGGGCAGAATCCAGAGGAACAGAGCCAGTCTCGCCATCTTGGATAGACAGTTAAGAGTCTAAAGTATTCCCTCCTGGTACTGTCAAGTCTCATGCAATATTTACGACATCTGTATTACCCAAATGACACAACAATCCACTCTCGCATCGGCCTATTCACATCTTAATTGTGCAATCGCTACATCAACATATTTGTTCAATAGCGTCTGCGTATACAGGAAAACAGTGTGATTGTGGAAGTGGTGTACTAAAATCTGCTTCACTTCGCGAAGATCCTTTCAAACGCGAGACTACGGTTTAACGCATCAACGAGAGAAGCGAGAGTTCAACAAAACAGTTCCAAATCCAGCTGAGTGCCACCAGCCAGGACAGTTTGCAACACTGGACTAAGCTAAGCTGAACGCCCCGTTGGGAAGGCTTCAGGCACTGAGCAAGAATTGTGGAATCACCCGCATCCGTGTGCCAGCTGCACCGTGTGTGCGAAAAGTGGGGATGTTAATTAGAATGCGCAGAGTGCCGCTGGGTGTAGGTAGGAGTAGGCTCGGAGCGGCACCTAGCGCCTATTTCTACGTGAGTTAAGTACAGTTTTACTGTACTTACTGTACAGTTGAGAGTATCTCATTTACTCCCCTTCGCAGGACTGATGGCAAGGGTGCACATATTGAATGCTCCAATGTATTTCGGTGGAGCATTGTCTTCATAATTTTTTTGTTTTCATGTATACATGTGACGAAGGAGATTATCATACCCTGACGTGAAGGTATGACATCTAAACGAACATCTGTGCCAAGTCTCTCTCCTTATCATTTCCTCTCTGGGGAATCTATTTTATTGAATACTAATTTTGTAGTCTGAGAAAGCTTTTCCATCTGACAAGTTCTAGAGGGTGGAGTATCTTAGGAGGATCCAGAATGATTTGAACGTCACAATTCTTTGATGCTAGAATCCATGGCAATTGAGAGATCATTTTCGTATATACAACAAAAATGCACCATGTTCCAGATGCACAGTAATCTTTAAATCTCTTAAACCTGGGTGAGCCATGTGCTTGCAAACTTACATCTTATTATTGAATTGTTCATGTTGTAAACAAACCAAACATATAACATATTTTACATTTTTCAGTCAATTTACAAATCTTGAAAATTTTACGTTCTCATGGTCAGAGATAGGAGGCGCTTCTTGTTGTTAGAGAATATTTAAAAAAAAATAATAATAAAAATAAAAATAAAATTGAACTTGCATTTCCTTAAAGCATTTTGCAACTAAAAGTAAGAGAAATTATGAATGAAGATAATATCTTTCATGTACACATGAGTATCAACTATATTCATGAGTTCCATGCCGCCATTGCAATTGCAGGATTGCTGTTAAGAATTGGTCTTGCAAAATTTCAACAACTCAACATATTCAAATTTGTTTCAGCAAAAACTTGAGGTGCTTAACAAAGTTGAAAATTCTTTGTTCTTCATAGATTGACAAAAGATTAGTCAAATCAGATAGGAAAGGAGATTACTCCGACTAATTCAGCACAAAACGAGAACACGAACATCATGTAGTAGCCATTTAAAAGACTAGACACGATGGATTTGTGAATTGTTGTGCATGGATAAACCTGGACAACGAGGCCCTTGTGACTGCAATGAAGCACACAGGAAAGGCAAATGTGGGTTTCCTGCATTCAATGTAAACAACAGGCTTGTGGTGATGTGATTGCAGTTCGTGGATGGATGAGCGGGTACTTCAGGAAAGACCGGGTGATCCGCATCCTCAGTGTGGACTCATCTCATCTCTGGAAAGAGCATCAACTAGATCTCAAACAACATCTGGTTATGATTCCTACAATCCTGCCGACACTTATCCTGGCTTTTTATTCTCCCCTCAGGATTAAAACCAGTAGGTGAAACGCATGAGATTCATTCCAGTCTAGAACGGAATCTCTGACTCTTAGTTTTATTATCGAACTATTGCACCCGCAGCAGATGTATCAGCTCCAGTGAGCGTCCTCTCTATTCGTTTCATTCAGTTTTCAGGCAAAGCCGTTGTGCTTTGTAATTAGCCACGTTCATGGAGTATTTGGATCGTGGTAGTGGTAGCGAAAGCGGCATGGATCAGATCTGCGATTATGAGTCATAGCTTTCCTACTTTTAGTCTATGAGGGGTATGTAATGTGCCGCTCAAAAATATTGTTATAAACTGGATCAAGTTTTACTCCGAGAGGTATCGGCCCATCTACGAAATATTCTTGATCTCATGATATGATGCGACTCTTTCTCTTGTGGTAAATATCGGCGTCTGGACGAAATGAAGTGACCAGAACATGATGCTGTTGAATTTCACAACTGACAGGAGAACTAGGGGGCTGCAATATATGAGGTCTGGGCAGAGAATTAGCTTTTAGAATTAACTCACAGCCCGCCTGTGGCCGTACAGAAGAATGGTCGTATTGTCCACTTCAGACCTTCAAAACAAGTGGAAGGGGATGATGGAACAGAGAGGATTCCCTTTGAACTTGAACGTAATGGCTGGAAACGAAGTGCATCCTTTTTATTATAGGGTACCTGGCTACTCTATGGTGGAATGTTTTTCCTCTCGCTTGCCACGTTGTGTTCTTCGGAAATTCAAGTGGTAATTACTCTCTGATTCTCGCATCCTTCGAGCTACGTTCGCCGCCTAATTCCCATATCTACCGCCCTTAATCTAATAATTGATCACCGTGCAGAGAATGAGGACAGTGGATGGAACAAATAGTTATGGGAGAGACTAATTGAATTCAGGAATATATCATGGAAAGTTACATCCAAACAAATGGAGAAGCAACCAGACCACAAGACAATATTCCTCAAAAGATGGGATCGAACTTGAATGGCAAGAAGAATGATAGGCAGTAGAACTGACTTGGCAATCAACTGAAACTCCCGAATACCTCAATGTGGTTTGATAATCCATGATAACCTAGAAGATTATTAGGATAGTGGGTGCTAGCCTTGATACGCACCTACAAATGCTGTTAGGGTATAAGGTCCTCTAATCTGTAATTTTTCTTAATCCATCTTAGCCTGTTTTGTGTCAAAAAGAAAAAGAAAAAGAAACACACAGTTATCACAGAAGTCGAACCAGCACGTTTACAAGACAAAGGTGGTTATTCAGGGTGGCCAATCAATCAAATAGATCACATTCTGTCACATCCTTATTCATGTAATCAAGCAAGAGCTTTCGAAGAGATTTTCAGCAACTGCAGTTGATGGTTGAGGAAGCCCTTGTTAATTGCGTGGCGACATGTGAACTGCGTCTAGTGCAGCTCAAACCAATTGGGATTGGCAAAGAATATCCAATTTTGTTCTGTGATGAGCTGGAATCTGAGTTCGTTGAAATCGTGAATCGCATGAGTTCGGAAATATGGCGCGCAATCACAGTTTGTCTCGGCACTTTTTAAACCGTATTCAACGAAGCCAAATTTCCTGCGACTTATTTCGGAACTCCATTGGCATGGATTGATGACATACCACCATGCATTTGGTATGACAACTCCGGCAATTTCGGGGAGAACTCGCCACAATTGACAACGGATTCTAGCATTTGCCTTAAGGCGAATTGAGCTGTTGCTGAAATTATGTGGCTTCAGTTTACTTTGGGATGGCATCGCCTCTCCCTTCTCAATAGTAATTGACCATTCCGAAGGGAAACATTTGTACGCAGTGAAGTTTTCAAGTCGTCGCGGGTCAGTATGATTCGTCTTCAGCTTTTGTCCTGGTACACGGAGCAATTTGGATTCTCTGTGAGTGGCAAAGATGATACACTATGGGTGTCGACATCCACATCCATGATGTAGAAATCGAAACAAATATTAATAAGAAAAAGAATTGTGTGGCTGGGGTACCGATGATATCCACGGCCACTGTGAAATTTTATTTTTTGTGTATTTCTTCAGTCGGCCTAACATTAGAGTAGACGAGGTTATCAGGAAATTGAGCAGGTAGAAGGCGGGGACTGAGCAGCGCCTGGGGAATTTTTTGAGGGCTAGGTAGATTGACAAGGTGGAGTGATAAAGAAGTGGTTGTGGTGTATAGATTGACATGGTGGAGTGAATAGATAAGTGGTTGAAGTCAAGAAACTAGAAAAGAAAGTGAACTTTAAATTTTGTGTGTGTTAGTTGATAAGGTGATGTAGTTTGTGATTATAGTTTATTTATTTATTGAATTATTATAATTGTTGTGAATAAGTCATTAAGATTAGGTGAAAGGTTTTCTTAGAGTTTATTAGAGATATTGTTTTTAGTATTTGTAGGGTTCTTAACGCCTTATTAATGTTTGTTAGAATTAGGATGTAGATTCAAGATGTTTTCTTTAAGGCTTATAAGGGTTTTCTTAGAGATATGATTTGCTACTTTAGGAATTATATACTATTTATGTATGAAGTAGTAGTTGTAAAAGATTGTTTAGGATATAGAGATGATATTTAAAAAAATAAGGCTTCTTATATTCAATTATAACCTTAATCTACTTGCATCTTTCAATTATACAACTTCTTGATATAGACTCTGAACTTCAATAGAGACTTCTTCCACAGGCATAGAAATAATACATCTATGATTAACATTAGAAATATGTGAATTTTTGATCTTAAGAGTATTGTCAAGCTTGTGAAGATTTGTAATAGTTGTAAATCTATTTTCACTTCCACCTGAAATAGCATCCATGATTTTTTCTTCTATAGACAATTCAAATAAATTTATAAGTCAAATTAAAAGAGAGTTATCTACAATATCTAATACCAAAAAAAAAATTCTATCTAAAAGAATAATCTACTCTCTTTCAAAAAAATAATCAATATTTTAAAAACTAAAAGTTAATTTAAAGATAAAGAGTTGTCATAGATATATATATTTACTCTAATAATTACTTAAGTAATATAAATAGATTGAAGTAGATAAAAAGAAAATGATTGATTTTACAATATCTTCTAAATAAACTTCTTAAAAGCTTCATTGACGTACTTTCACCTTTATACATGTTTATAGGTGATTGATAGGTTAGAAATTTGGCCAACAAAATAGACATATGTAGTAGATATTAGTAATTGTCAAGGACAAGAACTCGATGAAAAAGCAATTTTGACAAGTGAGCCTTCACTCAAAGAAAGGTAACAAAATATAAATAAACAAGTATGTATATTGAAAGAGAAATTGGAATGGCTATTGCCAAAGACTAGAAAATATGAAGACTCTTGAAACTAGACTGGAAGCAAAAAAAGAGTTGACAAGAGTAAAGAAGGCTTCATTCTTGTCTCTATATATACTATCTAACTAGGGGCTATGTGGCAACATTCTATAGGACCTCCAATATGTGTTGACTTTGTAGAATACATGCCTTGACTTACAAGGTAAGTTTTTCTACGTGTGGGCAACATTGTTAGCTTGGTCTTCAAGCTAACAACATGTGTGGCACATGGCCAACTTGTTGACGACGTTTCTAATCCAAAAAGTCAATTAAAGATATCTATA